TTTAAATAAATGTCAAAGAATTAAAAGAAATATTAAAATCCAACCAAAACATGATAAATGATCTGTTATAGATTAAAAAATAAAAATAAAAAAATTAATAAAACACCCAAAAACATTTAAAGGATTAAAATCATCCTGGAGCAGAAAATACAGTTAAAACAAATCATGAAATAGAATAAAAATAGAAAATGTCAAACATGATTTAATAAATATTAAAATATCACAAAATGTTGTTAAATGACAAAAAAACACTTTAATGCAGAAATATTAATAAAAACCTGTGAATAAATGTTAATAAATGTCACAGAATAAATCAGATTTCTGAGACAATCTGTTTAAATAAATAAACCAGTCAGCTGCTGGTTCAGAACCAGAACCAGAACCTGCTGACCAGTCAGACGTCGTGTTGAAACAGAAAACGTTCATAATATCTGTGAGTGAAACCTGCTTTAGTAAGACATGAATCTGTGGTTCTGCTCAGATCCTTGGTTCTGCTTTCTGGACCTCAGAGCTGTAAAGAGGAACCACGTCTGAGGGGATGAAGGAACCTCAGCTTCTGCTTCTTTCTGCTGATTAATGCAGAGAAGCTCCAGCAGCACGCAACCTTCTGGTTCTGGTTCTGACCCGGTTCTTCACTCTTGCTTCAGGTTACAGTTTCTGACGTTTCTCAGACTCTGAGTTTGTGTCTCCAGAACCGAACAGCTTTGAGAAGAAGGCCGGGATCCGGGTGGACGGCCGGCAGCTGGGGCTGGACTTCCTCCGCCTCAGGAGGATGATGTCGGAGTCCGGCTTCTACCGGGACGCCGGGCTGTTCGGGCCGGACGTCGGCCAGCCGAAGGACCACCGGACCGACATCCTGGAGGGGTGAGGAGGTTCTTTACCAACACTTAGACACAACAGAGCTGCTCTGTGACCCGACCCGTCACATGAGGCTCTGCTGCTGCTGATTAACGCCTCATGATGTCCATTATCTCCTCCTGCAGCTTCCTGCCGGGCGGCGCCGAGGCCGTGGACGCCGTCACCTGGCACCAGTGAGTCCGTCCACCTCAGTCATGTACCAGCTGATGCAGAACCAGAACACAGAGGAGACGAAGCTCCTGCCAAGGCTGAGATTTATTCAAACCCCCACTGGAGGAGCTCTGACTGAAATCTGTAACAAACAAAAACATGAAAAACAAACAAACAAAAACATGAAAAACAAACAAACAAAAACCTTCAATCCACGAACGTTAAAAACTATAAAAACACTGAAAATCACTGCAGCTGTCTGTAAAATAACACTTTGACTGATTAGATGCAGTAAAGCTGTGACTGAACCGTCACACTGGAGGAGAAACGACAAACCAGATGTTTACATGAACATTGTTTAGTTTTCAGTTTAAAACTTTTAATGTGTATTTTTTTAGTTATTTTCTGTAAGTTAACAAAACACAAACAGGTTTACTGGTTATTTACCATTTTTCAGTCTTTAATAGACAAACTTTTTCTTTTCAACACCAGCAACCGTCTGTAAAATAATTATTATTATTATATTTTAACTGATTAATTAACTTTTTACTAAAAATGCTGATTTTGATGTGAACATTATTTTACAGTTTTAACCTGTTTTTTTTTTTACAGTCATCATGTGAATCAAAACTTTTTTCTGTTATTTTTACTGAATATTATCTTTAACAAAAATCTAACAATCAAAATCAGAAACATTTACTTTCAACCAGACTTTGGTCGACTTTGCAGTTCAACCAAACGTTATTACAGAAATAAAAAGATGCCTTCATGCTGAGCAGGAAACGATGAGTTGATCAGAAAAAAACGTTCACCATTAGCTAGCATACTGGTGAACATTTTCACTCTTTTCTGATGCTTTTGAATGAAAGGACAAGAGTTTGATGTCATTTAGTTTATTGTTCAGGAAGAAAGGTCAATTACTTTATAATTTATGCTTAGAAATGTTTGCATCATCCACAAATATATGTATGAACTGGATTAATGTAAAGTGAGAATATCAGAGGCCCCATGATGGAGCCCTGAGGGACGCCTGAGCTCATTATAGCAGCAGCTCAGTAACTGTCTTGGTGGGAAACATGTTTATATGAATGAATCAGTGTAAACCTAAACTCTCCTGCTCCTTAGTTACTACGTGAACGGCAGGGACACGTCTCTGGAGGACTTCCTGGACCCTGAGGTTCTGGACACTCTGGCCTTAAAGACGAACGAAGTGATGGAGGTAACAGGACGCTGTGTCATCGGTGTTTCACTGAATGTGGTGTTCAGGTGTTTCAGCAGGTTTGTGTTTGATCCTCTGGTCCAGAAAGTGAAGCTTCTGGCGCCGACGAAGCCGGTGTGGCTCGGAGAGACGAGCTCAGCGTACGGAGGCGGAGCTCTGGGGCTGTCGGACACCTTCGTAGCCGGATTCATGTGAGTCTGAACTGACATAAGAAAATAGGTCCAAAGAATCAACTAAATCTCACCAAAGTTCAGCTGGTTCTGGTTCTGCAGAACCTTTATGTACTGACCAGAGTTCTACCTTCAGACTGTGAATGTTCCAGAGGTCCAGGTCCTTGAAGTCCACAGAGGAGGGTCCAGATTGATCACTTTAATGGACCTTTTCCATCATTTCTGAGCCTCATAAAGACATAAAATTACCACAGAAAGATGCAAAAATACCAAAAAGAGAAAAAAAATAACCACAAAAATATTAAAAAATCACAACGAAAACGCACAAAATTACCACAAAGAGTCAAAACCACCACAATAAAAGGTGAACTCACAACATTCAGACACAAAATCACCACAAACATCAGAAAAATCACAACAAAGTTATGACAAAAAGAAGCAACACATCCGTCTTCCATCCAGTCCAGGTGTCTGGAGACGATCTGGTTTCCTGTAGAGCCGGACCTCAGCGCCGCTCCACCACCGATACCAGATGTAGTTCTAGTCGACTGTGTTTTCTGACTGAACGTGTTGTGAGCATCTGTCTGAGGTCCTGATGTTCTTCTACATGTGCAGGTGGTTGGATAAGCTGGGCCTGGGAGCCACTCTGGGCCTGGACGTGGTGATGAGGCAGGTTCTGGTGGGTTCTGGGAGCTACCACCTGGTGGACGAGAACCTGGACCCTCTCCCTGTAAGAGCAGGACTGCACCTTCAGGCCTGACGCTGCTGAACCAACTCTGACCTACATCTGTTCTTCCAGGATTACTGGCTGTCGGTTCTCTACAAGAGGCTCGTCGGACCGGAGGTTCTGAAGGTCCGAACGCGGTCTGGTTCTGGCCACAGCAAGAGAGTGAGAACGTATCTGCACTGCAGCAATGAGAAGAGGTAGGACTCCTGATCCAGGAACAGCCTGAACCCTGGACGAGCTCTTCATCAGTAACACTGAGTGTTCTGGTTGCAGCTTCAGCCGAGGAGCCGTCACGCTGATCTCCATGAACCTGAGGAGGACGCCGGCCAGGATCCTGGTCCCGGCCGTCCTTGGCAGCAGCACAGTGGAAGCGTTTGTCCTCCAGTCGGACCAACTCGTCTCCAGGTGCTTGAAGCCCTCCGTCGCCTCAATGCTGCCATTCACCCGCAAGAGCCTCAGATCTGCTGCCGTCACCAGAATAAAGTCCGTTTAAGGCTCAGCTGCTGCCTGACAAGAATCTAAACCAGCAGGGGCACGCTTTTATTGTGAAAGGACAGACTAGTTAAATCATCTGTAGCACCAGGCTTCATTCAAAATATTCATGTTTTTAGATGTAACTTCAGTCAGTTCT